AACTGTAGTTATGCAGACTTAGGTATTTGGCAGACATTGTCCCAAAAATGAATGAATGGCCATGTTACTCCAAGGAAAATAACTGGCAGTGTTTGTCTCCAATGATTAGGAAAGAGGGATTCCTGGGTGGCTCAGTTGGTTAAGTGTCTGCCTTCAGCTCAGGTCATGATCCCAGGGTCCTGGGATCAAGTCCCGCATCGGGCTCCTTGCTCAGTGGGGAGCCTGCTTCTCCCTCTGCCTGCCACTCCCCCTGCTTGTGCTCTCTCTCTCTCTGACAAATAAATAAAATCTTTAAAAAAAAAAAAAAAAAGGAAAGCACTTTCAAGCTAAAAGTAGAATTTTGGAACAACATGAATCTGACAGCTTTCCAATTTCTAAGGACTTTTTAATAATATAGGTGATAATATTAATGAATGTGATTTTTTTATACTGTGTAATGAAACATGTCAACATTTGGAAAATCTGCATAACTCAAAGAACCACAATTTTTCAAGTGACCAACGTACACCATTTCAGAATTGTGCATGGGTGAAAAAACCCATTAAAGGTGCAAAATAGATAAATAGATTTTAATATAATCAAATAAAAATGTTACTTGAATATAGCTTCAGATATAACATTGTAATATACTTTAAGAAACTGCCACTTGTCGAGTTTTGATGAAGTATCAAGAAAGGCTATTCACAAGGAATTTCAAAGAATATTTGAAAGGCTATTAAGTTACTCCTCCCTTTTCCCACCCTATATTTGGGTGAGGCCAGCTTTGAGTCACACCCTTCAGACAAAACAGCATAGTGTAACAGACTGAACATAGAAACAAATGGGAGATTTCAGGTCTCTTCTATTAAATCAGAAACTGAAGAGATTTGCAGAAATGTAAAAGATGCCGATCTCACTAAACTCTCTCTTGTTTTGGAAAACAGTAATTTTTCATAAAAACATTATTTTAACATAGAATGGGCTCATTATTGTTACTTTATATATATTTATAAATGTATATTTTTTAAAGTTTCTAGTACAATAAACACTGGTAGATGGATCCCACCTAAACAAAAATTCTTTAGGATTCTTCATAATTTTTAAGTGTGTAGCGAGGTCTGGAGACCAGAATTTGAGATCACTGCTATGGAACTTTATTCAAACCAGTGGTTACAAAGAGAACTAACTGTTGAGGAAATGAGGAATTTTATTGGGTTTGTAGGGTACCAGACTAGAGGAAACAGGCAGCCAGAAGACAGCAAAGTATCACTGTGTGTCTGGGGGCAACCTGAACATCGGAAGCGTAGATTTGCTGTACAGGCCGCTGAGAGACCCCTGTGGCTGGCTCTGTTCAGGACGCTGTGTTGCCTAAGGGTAGGTCACTGTGCTGCACCTGCCTCTAACCAATTTCGTCTCGTGTTCTGTTGCCTCTGCCAATGAAATGTTTATCATGTCACTAATGGAAGAAAATAGAGGTGGCCGATGAATCCCCAATTCTTGGCCAGCTGTGCCCCCTGCCACTACAAGTTCCCAAAAGACTTGTGCAGAGAGGACAGACCAAGAAAATGTCAGTCGATGGCGATGATGATGATCACTGTAGAGTTTGTGAAAACCCTGGCCCCTGAGCTCTGGGCTGCACCCCAGGTTTGGTGAAAGACCTCTTTTGATTATCAGCCTAAGCCCCAAACAAGGGATATCAGAGAGATTCTTGTCACTTGCCAACTCTAGCTTGATGCAGTAGCTGCCTGGGGCCCTCTTTTGAGGATCAGCGGAGAAAACAATTGCATTCAGTTATTGACATCTGCCAAAGCCTCCCAAGGAGTGGGCACATAGGCCATTCATTGTCAGCCCTCCCCTAAGCCCAAAGTCAGGACTCCGTGATTTTTTTTTTTCCCCTTATCCAAGCTCTTGAGGCCAAACAGCTCTGAACGACTGAGATGTGAGGCATAAAGAAGAAATATAAAATGCAAACAAGGGATTAGAGTCAAAGGAAAAGAACACCTCCCCTCCAAGGCTGGTCTCCATGCCCACGCTCAGGCCCTGGGGACGGGGTGGGGAAGTGAAACTGGCAGTGGAAAAATATAGAGCTACAAAGACCCAAGAATATTGTCCTAAGAAATATGAATATTTCTCTATAGAAATGAGCTTTTAATCCCTTCATTCCTGAAAATTCCCCAAATTAATGAAATCATCAACTGTGATATGACCAGCTGAGAATACTGTCATTGTGAGGAACCAAAAAACATTGTATTTACCAGGACTCCTATTCAGGAAAACACAACATTGTTGGGAAATAATTCCTTAATGAGCCCTCTTGGAGTGGTGGTGGAGGTCCCAGGCCCAGGGGTTGTCTGATCCCAAGGCTTGAGAGATGAAGGAAAAACTGCCCAAGGAACAGACAAGGAAAGATTCTTGTTTTGTTCTTGAGAGGGAAAGGGGACTAAGAATAAGAAAAGGGGAGAAAGAACCCCTCAAATCTCCAGGAATGTCATGAAACTTAAAAAAAAAAAAAAAAAAACCTTGCTCTGAATGTATCATTTGTGTTTCTGGACTGGGTAGAGGGGGTATAAAGAGAAAGAAACAGGAGTCAAAAATGGGAAGAACTACAGGCATACCCGGGGAATCTCAAAAATGGGCCAAGCATTTGGAAGGGTCACAGGCCATGGTCTTCAGGGTCTAAGACATGTTCATCTGAGTGCCCAACAGACAAGGAGGCCTTCTGTAACATCTGGGTGGGGTCAGTGATGTCCCAGCCCCCCATCACGTTGCTGATTCTGCTAGATGTGGTCACACCCGAGCCTTGGGTCAGTTTATTGCTCCGCCTCTCTGACTCCTGCTACAGCACTTCTCTCTTTGTCTCAGTCCAGCAGTGTTAATTCTTTACAGAGTGGAAAGCATCTCCATAGTCAGGGTCACAAGGACTTTGGCCTTGTGGGAGCTCTGCCACTAACTGCCCATGTGACCATGATGGGTCCTTGTCTCTTCAGACTTCAGGACCCTGATCTGTAAAATGATAGAGGTGAGGAAGGAAAAGGTTAATATCGCTTAGGTCCCTGACAAATCAAAATTCAGTGACTCTTGCAGCTCCTTGGTGCATCTTCGTTCCCACTTATACTCACATTTGTGATACACCTTTCATTGTAGAAATAAAAGAATCGGGGTTTGTTGGTTTAAAGAGAAGTTATTCACTTGGTAGCAATTTTCTCCACTGAGAACATAGAGTAATTTAACAGGCACTGGTTTTGTTACTTAGAACAAGAACTTTTTTAAAGCTAAAAGGAACCAGACAGATGGTGTTCATATCTATATAAATATATATTTTTTATTTTATATTTACATATAAATTCATATTTTTAAAAAATATATGAATATATATTTATATATGTTTTATATATGTGTGTGTGTGTGTGTATATATTTAATTCTCTACTTCTCCTTTTATGCCTTTCCCCAGTCTTATGGGCATTCTCTTATGTGTGTTTGTGTCTGCCTCTCCCAATAGGTTGTTAGACCACTGAGAGTCAGAACATAATGATACTCATCTCTGTATCCTCCTAAAGCCTAGAGACCATGCCTTATGTAAAGTGAGCATTTAATAGAGGTTTGTTTGGTTGAACTGAAATTGTACCGAATCAAAATTTTTAAATGATTGCCTTGTACTGTAATAGGTTTGGTTATGCTGTGGGAATAACATAATCTCCAGATCTCAGTGATTTAATGCAATAGAGGTTTGTTTGTTGTTTTTTGGTTTTGGGTTTTTTTTTTTCTTTGCCAAGGCAAAGTCAACTATAGGTTGGGTGAAAGATATTTCTGCTCCACAGAGGCCACTCAGGGACCCAGACTGAAGAGAATCCTGCTTCCAAATGGTATACCATCTGGAATATATGGCATCTTCAGAGAAAGAGATAAAAAAATTCTTAAGCGCTTTTTTTGCCTTCTGCACACATTTCATGAACCAGGACTAATCAAATGGCACCATTGAACTAGCGCCACCAAGATTGATAATCGCTAATAATATCTATCACATACTTTACTCGATAGCTCTAATATTTCAGCAATAACGGACTTCTCTGAGAATCTTCTGACAACTATGATCCCTCTCCCCAGAAAAAAAAAATACATACACACAGAAACTTATTCAACACTTTGCATAATTTTCAGGTTTTTTATGCATTTCAAACCTCGTTGGCTGCTCTTCTACAGATCTCAGGACGCAGGTTATGAATCCTTCCACTGAATCCACAAGCATGTTTAACACCTGGTAACAGACCAACAGATGAAAAAAAAAAAGACATTACTAAGACGAAATCAGAAGGGGAGACAAACCATAAGAGACTCTTAACTATAGGAAACAAACTGAGGGTTGCTAGAGGGGAGGTGGCTGGGGGGGGTAAGTGGGTGATGGGCAATAAGGAGGGCACGGGATGGAATGAGCACTGAGTGTGTATGCACCTGACCTCTACATCTGACCTCTACATCTGAAACTAATAATACACTATACGTTAATTAATTGATTTTAAATTAAAAAAATACATTACTAGTGTTCTGTTTTTTTCCTTTAAATTTTTTATTATTGTTATGTTAATCACCATGCATTACATCATGAGTTTGTGATGTAGTGTTCCATGATTTATTGTTTGTGCATAGCACCCAGTGTTCCACCCAGAACGTGCCCTCTTTAATACCCAACACCAGGCTAACCCATCCCCCCACCCCTCTCCCCTCTAAAACCCTCAGTTTGTTTTTCAGAGTCCATTGTCTCATGGTTCATCTCCCCCTCCGATTTACTCCCCTTCATTCTTCCCCTCCTGCTATCTTCTTCTTTTTTTTTTCTTAATATATATTGCATTATTTGTTTCAGAGGTACAGATCTGTGATTCAACAGTCCTGCACAATTAGTTCTGTTTTATGTTGAGAACAGCCTATTTATTTACTTAGTTACTTACTTAATTTGTGTCAGATCAGGCATCGTGCAAGATACATGACCAATGGATTTTCCTCTGTTTTTTTTTTCTTAATCAGGAAAAATTTGAGGGTCTGTTTCGGACTTACGATGACTGCGTGACGTTCCAGCTGTTTAAGAGTTTCAGACGTGTCCGAATAAACTTCAGCAATCCCAAATCTGCAGCCCGAGCCAGGATAGAGCTTCATGAAACCCAGTTCAGAGGGAAAAAATTAAAACTCTACTTTGCACAGGTAAGGTAATTCTTGCTCTACACTATCTTTTGCTTTTTTTTTTTTTAAAGATTTTATTTATTTATTTATTTGACAGAGAGAAACACAGCGAGAGAGGGAACACAAGCAGGGGGAGTGGGAGAGGGGAAGCAGGCCTCCCGCGGAGCAGGGAGCCTGACGTGGGGCTCGATCCCAGGACCCCAGGATCATGACCTGAGCCGAAGGCAGGCACCTAACGACTGAGCCATCCAGGCACCCCTATTATCTTTTGCTTTTTAAAAAATGTAAATGGAGCCCTTTCTACTTTCAGGCTGGTTTGTAGTCTATAATTAGTTCATGGAGAAATAAACCTACACCATAGATTCCCAGGCAGGGACATCACAGAGGTTTAGAAAGCAGGCTGACAGCCTGAGCTCTCACCTGGGCAAGTTGCATACTTTCCGTGGGCCTCAGTTTCCTCACCTGTAAAAGGAGCAGGATGATACAAACCCCAGACTATTGCTGGGAGGATTAAATGAACTATTGTGTGTTCAAGTGCCTGGCATTTGGTAAATGCACAGTAAACACCAGCTGGTGGTTGTAGTAAGAATGGTCTATTCACAACTACTCTTAAACTTCCTAGCAGGGTTGTGATAAAATTTCAGTTATATCCTAGTTTTAGTGGACTGTATACCTTTCCAATGACTCCTATTCATGAGAAAGCATGACAAACAGATGGAAATCAGTTTTGTGTTTTATTTCATCCAGAAATACTAGCTTTCCAAAAGGGGATGGGCACTTCTTGGCAAGACTCACAAAGTCCACAGCAATAGAAAATCAATGTCCTAGGGGTGCCTGGGGGCTCAGTCGATTAAGCCTCTGCCTTTGGCTCAGATCATGAGCCGCAGGGTCCTGGGATTGAGTCCCATATCAGGCTCCCTGCTTGTGCTTGCTCTCTCTGTCTCTGACAAATAAATAAATAAAATCTTAAAAAAAAAAAAAAAGAAAATCAGTGTCCTAATATTAGTTCCATCAGTGTCTTCCCTTCATCATCAGATATCTTGATTCATCTCTTGTGGGTCAGTAAGCATTGTTCCCATCTTTGAACTCTACAAAGATGGCACAGTGAAAAAACATAGACTTTGCTTCTTTTTAAGGCTGATTAGTATTCCATTGTATGTAGATGCCACATTCTCTTTACCCATTCATTTGTCGATGGACATTTATGTCATTCCCACATTATTATGAATAGTGCTGCAGTGAACACAAGAGTGTTAATATTTCTTCAGAAGCCTGATTTCAATTATTTTGGATTAATACCCAGAAGTGGAATTGCTCAGATGGTGGTTCTCTTTTATTTTTTGGAGGAACCTCCATTTTGTTTTCTATAGTGGCTGCATCATTATGCATTCCCACCAACAGTATACAAGCGTTCCAATTTTTCCACATCCTTGCCAACACTTGTTGTCTTTTATTTATTTATTGGATTTTGATAATACCCATCCTGACAGGTGTGAGGTTATATCTCACTGTGGTTTTGATTTGCATTTTCCTGGTGCTTGGTGGCCTAAATATTTTTTCATATACCTGTTGGCCATTTATGTATCTTCTTTGGAGAAATGTCTATTTGAGTCTTTAGATCATTTTTTAACTGAGTTATTAGGTTTAATTTGGGGGGTTTTTTTTTTGTTGTTTTGGGGATTTTTTTTCTTGGAGTTAAGGAGTTCCTTAACTCTTTATCCTATATATGGATAAGGAGATTAACCTATCCTCTATATGATTTATAAATATTTTCTCCCATTCGCAGATTGCCTTTTCACTTTGTTGATATTTCTTTTGCTGTGCAGAAGACTTGGTTTGTTGTAGTCCTGCTTGTGCTTTTGGTGTCATATCTATGAAAACATTATCAAGGCCAGTGTTATGAAGCTTTCCACTATATTTTCTTCTAGGATTTTTGAAGTTTCAGGTCTTATGTTTTGAGTCTTTAACCCATTTTGAGTTAATTTTTGTATATGGTGTAAGAGAAGGTTTCAGTTTCATTCTTTTGTATGTGCATATCCAGTTTTCCCAACACCATTTGTTGAAGAGACTATCTTTTCCTCATTGTGTACTTTTAGCACCCTTGTTGAAGGTCACTTGACCCTATATGTGTGGATTCATTTCTGAGCTCTCTATTCTATATGTCCATTGGTCTATATGTCTGTCTTAATGCCAGTACCATACTATCTTGCTTACTCTAGCTTTGTAATATATTTTTAAATCAGGAAGTGTGATCTTCTTTCTCAAGATTTATTTGGCTATTTATGGACTTTTGTGGTTCTATATGAATTTTAGAATTGTTTTTTACCATTTCTGTAAAAAAAAGCCATTGGGATTTTGGTAAGGGTTGTATTAAATCTGTAGATTGCTTTGGACAGTATGGACATTCTGCAATATGGATAAACCTTGAGGACATGAGGCTAAGTGAAATAAGCTGGCCACAGAAAGACAAATATTGCATGATTCCACTTATTTGAGGGATCTAAAATCCTAAAATTCATAGAACCAAAGAGTAGAATGGTAGTTGCCAGGGACTAGGAAGAGGAGAAAATGATGAGTTACTAATCAACAGGTATAAAATTTCAATTAAAGAAGATGAATATACTTTAGAGATCTACTGTACAACACTGTACCTACAGTCAACAATAATATACTGTAGACTTAAACATTTGTTAAGAGGGTAGATCTTTGGGGGCGCCTGGGTGGCTTAGTCAGTTAAGTGCCTGCCTTCAGCTCAGGTCATGATCCCGGGGGTCCTGGGATGGAGCCCCCTGCTCAGCGGGGAACCTGCTTCTTCCTGCCCCTCCCCCCTGCTTGTGCGTGCTCTCTCTTTCTCAAGTAAATAAATAAAATCCTTTAAAGAAAAAAGAGGGCAGATCTCTTGTTAAATGTTCTTATCACAATTAAATTAAATCTAAAAAAGAAGAATTTAGACTTTGGTCTCAGACGCATGTTTGAATCCCATGCTTCTAGTAACTGTGTAAAAACCTCAGTTTTTATCTACTGAAACCCCACTTGTTTCCTTACAAACAGAAAGTTACCATCTGACCCAGCAAATACCCACTCCTAGGTATATATCTAAAAGACTTGAAAATAGATCTCAAAGGGCGCCTGGGTGGTTCAGTCGTTAAGCGTCTGCCTTCAGCTCAGGTACGGGGCTCCCTGCTCCGTGGGGAGCCTGCTTCTTCCTCTCCCACTCCCCCTGCTTGTGTTCCCTCTCTCACTGTGTCTCTCTCTGTCAGAAAAAACTTAAAAAAAGAATCCCTTAAAAAAATTACACCTCAAAAAAATACCTGTACACATATATTCATGGTGGTACTATGCACACTAGCCAAAAGGTAGAAACAAGCCAAATGTGCATCATTAGATGAACAGATAAACAAATCATGGCCCATCACTCATTGGAATGTTACAAAACCATGAAAAGGGCTGAAGTACCGGTGTGTGCTCTGACATGGATGAACCCCGTAAATATGCGAAGGAAAAGAAGCTAGACACGAAACGGTCACATATTCTGATTCCGTTTCTGGGAAATGTCCAGAACAGGCAAATCATAGAGACAGAAAGCAGATTGGTGGTTGCCAGGGTCTGACTAGAGGCAAACATGGTAGTAACTGTTGAATGAGCACAGGGTTTCCTTTGGGGCAATACAGATGCTTTGCCTCTAGGCAGAAGTGGTGATTGCACCACACTGGGTGTGTCCTCCATGCCACTGATTGTTTCCGATAGAATGCTTCATTTCCTATGATGTGAAGATTACCCCCAAAAGAATGAGAGAGAGAGAGGAAAGAAAGGGAGCAAGGAGTCTGGGGACCAACAGCCTCACCCTCATGTGGGTACTTGCTCACAATGCAGATTCCCGGGCCCCACCCCAGCTCTGCTGAATCAGACGCTCCAGGAGTGGGGCTCCGCTCTGCTTTTGGAAGCTGTCCAGATAATCACCATGCACGCTACAAGTCGAGATCCACAGTTTTAAGGATGAGATAGGATAACTGAGCATCTGGTGGATGGTAAGCAGTGATTATTTTCATAGCCTCCTTCACTGGTTCTTTTGTCACAGGCTGAAAATGAGATTCTGCATCTTCAGGTCCCAACACGGCCCATCTGAGACCCTAATGAATCCTGTGTCTTGTTTCTCCTCTGTTTGAAAGGTTCAGACTCCAGAGACGGACGGTGACAAGCTGCATTTGGCCCCACCGCAGCCCGCCAAACAATTCCTCATCTCACCCCCGGCATCTCCTCCCGTTGGCTGGCAGCCCATCAGCGACGCCACGCCAGTGCTCAACTACGACCTCCTCTATGCTGTGGCCAAACTAGGACCAGGTATGCTCTGTGACCCCTTTGGAAAATAAACATCGTCGGCAACCTAGAAAAGCCAAATGGGATTAACAGCCTTGAAATCCGGGGCTCATGGGAACATGTGCATTTCTAATGGGTTTATTGCTGTGTGTGGACAGCGAGAGGGCTGATGGATGAGAGAGAAAGAACCAGCACTGGACTTTGTCCCTGTTTAACAGCAATTCGGGAACGGGGACTAAAATGTCTGTCCGTGCAGCTTCTGCATTGCAACGCAGATACTTTACAATTGGAAAGAGCTACCTAATTCTTACGGGATTCTTCTCTATACCATAAGGAATTTTGGTATATTTGGTATATTCCAGTGTATTCTGGTTTTCTCAGAATAGGCAAAATAAGCTCTACGAGCTGGCATGAGGCTTCTATGCTGTGCAACGTTCTTTTATTGCTGCCATAGGAAAGCCCAGGAGAACCCTCTGAAACAAGACAGTCGTCCTGCCAAGGTGAAGCCTCTTGGTCTCTGAGAAGCTGGTCATAGTGGCCTTTACCTTAAGAAAAAATCTTATGGTCCCTTTCTTCCAATGTTGGTATATGTGGCTCAGATTCTCTCATTTTCAGGGCAGTATAGTATTCCACTGGACAAATAAATACATACACACACACACACACACACATATACACACACACACACACCATCACACTTCATTCATCCAGTTTCCTGAGTTGGACATTTAGACTGTTTCCAGTTTCTCGCCATTCTTTTTTTTTTTTTTTTAAGATTTTTTATTTATTTGACAGAGAGATAGCGAGAGAGGGAACACAAGCAGGGGGAGTAGGAGAGGGAGAAGCAGGCTTCCCCGCAGAGCAGGGAGCCCGATGTGGGGCTCGATCCCAGGACCCTGGGATCACGACCTGAGCCGAAGGCAGACGCTTAACGACTGAGCCACCCAAGCGCCCCAGTTTCTCGCCATTCTAATCAAAGCTACAGTTAACATCCTTGTACATATCTCCTATGCACTGATCCGAAATTTCTTTATGTTGGTACCTAGAAGTGATATCATCCTCACTTTCAGTAGACATTGCCAGCTCGCTGGAAAAATACTTCCAAGTATTGTGATAGGTGAAATGAAATGGGGTCACTTATGTCAAGGGGCTTTTTTTTTTCTTTCTTTTCTTTTTTTTTTTAATTTTATTTATTTATTTGAGAGAGAGAGAATGAGAGATAGAGAGCACGAGAGGGAAGAGGGTCAGAGGGAGAAGCAGACTCCC